AGTTACATTGTAACTTCAGTGGAATACGCTGGCAACAGGCAAAAGATATGCGATGATTACTGTTGCGTCTTACAGAACTCTAATTGGCTAAAAAGGATATAACTTAGAGGGCCAAACCAACCTCCCATTCACGTTGGAGAATGCGAATAGTATCTCGATGCAATATCGGGCCAAAAAGAGGATTGACTTGAGCCATGGACGACATCAGCCAACTGAAATAAATGAGAATGAAGGTCAAAAACAAGTTACAAGAGGTAGCAAAATACTGAAGAGGTTGCAAGCATCAATTGAATCAACCTGAAAGTGTCTCGTCAGTGTACAATAAATCTCTTACGGTCTGTTAGGACCTTTGGGGACTATAAGAGGTCCTCCGCAACCAACAAGCAGCCAAAAAACAGTCATTACTGTTAAAGGAACTTCGTAACCCATTTCCAAAAGACTTTAAATGTGCTCCACAAGAGTCCATAGATCGACAGCACAGTAGTATATTCAAACAAGTCTCATTTATATTTAGGCAACATTATATGAGCTTTCTTTCAGATATTTTGGATATTAGCAGACAAAACACTTACTGAGTCACTTTTTTGGCCTAACTTAGGGGTCTGCTGTTGTCTTGGTAATGTAGCATGAAGTATTCTGTCATATACCGGTAGTGAAAAAAAAATAGACAAAAGAGCGGCTTGATCAGGAAGTAAGGTGTGGCAAAACGCATTATCAGAAGCATTCTGAGGCAAGTATCTGGTTGGAATGTTTAGCAATGAAGTATTATATAATACAAACAACGTATTTATCTTTCATATGAGTATCATGATATACGTTGTCGGAGGTAGTCTTATGTCTTATTGGTGAATAACCATGATTGCTCATTTAGATAGCTGCTGGACTTGACAGTAATGTACTTGGGCATTGGGTTCATGCTCTAAAGCAGGAAACAATATATATAACCCATTTCCATGATGAACTGATCTGATCCGTCCCTCATATAATGTTGAGAGGTGAATATATTGAGGTAAGTCTGAATTTTAATAACCCGTCGGCACACAGCTTGAAAGTGGCCACTGTTTTCTTTGCTCTAGAATCAGGTTCAGAATAGTTTGCCCGTTGATTCCTTATCTTTTGAATACTATTCTGTACCTTTCTGTGTAATTCTAGTTTAAATCACAAACTCTCAGGAAGTTCATTGAAATAATGTGCTGTCATGCCCGTTGAATTTTTACGTGATTCATTCATGTTTTCAGACTTCCTTCCATTTTCTTCTTCTGTATCTAATAGCATTGGATCACTGATGTCGACAAGTTGAAACCTAGGTTCATTTAACGATAAAAGGGAAGAAATACTAGTAAAAGATAATGAAATACCGTCCTTAGTCTCAAAGAATATGTCAAGTGTTATCTTAAAGGACTCTTCAGAAGTAAATTGGAAAACTTCAGTTGACGGCGAATTCCAGAGCTCGACTTCTCTCATATAATGGGGTGTGTGCCGACAGTCTGTTCTCGTATATCGTTTCTCCAGTTTCTAGGTGCCCCCCTAAGTTTTTGTGCTAGTATTGAGCTTAAGCAAGTGTTCATGGAGATGCTCAGGAGGGTTTAGCATGACGCAAGTCATTAAAGAGTTACCTCTGAGATTATACACTTATGGGTATAATTTCAATGATTTTGGGTGCTATTCACAAAATTATCTCGAGAGATATTTTTGCCTCAGCTTAAGACTTCGGATTATAGGGTACCAACACCCCTTGATCTTTCTCAACTTTAAATACCTCTAGGGAGTAGTTGCCGAAGTTGTGTGTGTAGTTTACAAAATGTCTCAGATGGGCTAATTTTACTTGAGATGCTGAAATTAAGTCCATTGTTACCCAGACAACTATGAAGTCAAGTCAGATCATTTTGAAGCTGTATGATTTGTTTGTAACATCGAACTAGTTGTTGCACTGTATTTCAACAAGGTGCGTAACATAAAACTTTAAAACTATATTCATGCATGCCGAAAACATAAGAGAGCATAAAATTTCAAAACGAGAGAGTGCGTTGTGTTACCGACCAGCAAACATGATGATGGGGAGATTAATGAAATCCACAGATGTCTGTAGGACGGAACATCTTGTTTGATTAAGGATCGTTGTGGTCTAGTGGGATGTAACAAACTAATGGTTTTGATGTCAATTTCGTATGCCATACACTTTTTTGATTCATTTCTGTGACTCTGAATTGGTTTCACTTCCTACCGAGAAATCCTACCGCAAGCAATATTGGACAATTACACCAAATATGAGTCCACTTATGGCTGTTCGAAATTTGCAACAGTAAAAACGAGTTGTAATAAATATAACGAAAAAAAGCCAGTTGGTACTTGAACACTGTATTTTCCTTACTACATTTTGAAGCCACACATAATCTTAAACTTCCACCTTCCTTTCCAATTATATTCAGTTCTCCATTCATTCATCGCTACACTGTGGCTTGTTTCCCGTGACCTGATTAAATATACTCTTTTAGAAATCGGCCTAACAGAAGAGAATGCGCCTAAGTAGTCATACCATAATTCTTCTTTCCCAAATGACAATACTCCATTAGTTTTTTATCGCTGTCTGTTCTGTTTCTCGCCCTTCCCTTTTTCTCTCTCTTTTTCAGCACCCTCATTGTGTACCATGGAAAAGCCTTTTGCAACATACGACATTACCCTATACCGTCACTTATATCTCCTGAAACAATCTGGGATCACTATTGCAAAGCATAAACTAATACGTCGAAGTTGGCGTCTTTGACTGATAGCTTCAGTCCCCGTAGACCACCAATTATTTGTTGCAATCTAAACACTACAAAACACACCATTCTTAGCATTGGACAATAGGGTTAATGTAACACTAATATTCTTGTGTATGAAACCTTATCTCCTATTCCAATTGCTCATGTGTCCTGTAGCTGTTTAACATAGTTGAATAACTTAATGGAGTAACGCATGAAGCATTTGTAACAACTTGAACTTGCCTATAAACTGGTATGCCACTTGTAATACACTGTTATCTAAGAGTATATATTGTTATTATTCATGTTCGTCCAAATCTTCTCTTCATAGTTTTTCATTGTCAAAGATAACTAATAAATGAGACGACACTTGCTGGGGGAGGTCATTTATATAAAATACTGAAAAGAAGAGGTTTTTACTGAACTCTGATGGACCCCAGTAGGGCAGTTCATAGTCTGAGAAAAAGCATTGTTTACTCCGACATTAAAAAGTTAACTTTTAGATATCTAATAGACTAATCAATTAACAGTGACATGGTACTTAATTGTTTGAGGTTATTGATAAGGCACATGTGACTGGCCCTATCATAAGCTTTCGAGAATTCAAGGTATGAGATATCAAGCTTCTCTTTATGATCAAGTACGGTTGTCTATCTGTCCACCGCGGTCTGTGGGTTGGTTATACAGGGTTGACCTGTCCTGAAACCGTGCTGTTAGGTTGAAAATAATCTTATGGATAGTTGGTAGTCATACAGACTGCTGCTTATCAGAGATTCTACAATTTCGGAAAGTATTGACAAAGGTGCAGCTGGATGGTAACTTGAATTCTAGCTGCATCGACCTCCTTTGAAAATTTGTGTGATGCTAGCCAGTTTCCAATTTCCTGGTAACGTGCCTAAGTCTAGCTAATGTAATAACATTATGCTAGGCCATTTTTACTAACGTTAAAAACGCTTCCCTCAGTATAGCATAATGGATTATATCGGAACCAGGCCTTGTGTCATTGTTTAGATGCAACATTTTCTGATACTGCATGTGAGCACATAGGTTGTCTTTCAAGAGCTCTGTTGAGTTGTAAGTAGATTTCCTGTCAATTTAGTTTGTACGAAATGTTTGAAATGTTGTAACGTACTGCTCTGTCAGAAGGTCAGTAGCGTTCTCGTGCTTGTAGGTAACCGTTGTTTTATTGACAGATGAAATCAGACTAGTAGTGAACAGTCCTTTATTTAGATCGTGGCACAGTCACAATGGAGCGGGTGATAACCTGCTCAAACACACAAAGCTTTTCAACATTCAATATAAGATAATAAAAAAATTAATGTCTACAAAAAATAAGGAAGTGTATATATACTTGAGTTCTATTGTCTTGACAAATACTTAATTTTTTGGGATCAACTCTTAATCAATCAATCTAAGCTGTAACAACGTCACCGTCATTCTTAGTTGTGCCATTAGGACCTAGTAATCAGGAAACTGTGGTTTTGACTTGCCTAAGAGGCTGCACGACAGAATAAGCCTTTTGGGTTGGAGAAAAGTTTATCAATTAAATTTATCTGATCCTGAAGCTCGTCTTTTCTCATAGTCTTTGTAGACTTTTTGCTTGATTGCTCCAGTTAATTTTATTTGCTGCTCTCAATAATTGGTTTATTTTCCTTCTATTAGTCCCCTTTGCATTTAAGCACTTGAACAGTACCATTCTTTATGACTGTACGTTGCTCATAATTTTAGGGACCGTCTATCTACTTCCGGAAGTCTTTCACAGTCAAATATTAATATCCAATCACTGTTTCTTATTACTTGTAAACATAACTTATTTTTTTAGTTGCAGTAGAACATTCTCATGTTCGGAAGGAGTAAGTTGGCTAACAAGTAGAACGAATCGTCGTCATATATTTCAATTACACACCTGTTATTTATTATCTTGTCTCCAGTAGTACTTCTTATTTATGTCATGGGATTTTGTCTGACATTAGGTTATCTCACGAACGCGATAAGGTTTTCAACGACTATGGTGAGGTTTTTTACAGCAACTGGTTTTCAAGATCAAGTTACTAAGCGACAATCGAGCCAGATTATCGACTTCAGGGGTTAGAAAAGTCACCTAGAATTCTTTTTGTTGATTTTGTGATTTTATCGCGCAACAGACCATTTTAGTATGTGGATACCAGAAAACCATTAAATAAAACATGCACATAACCAACTGACGGCATCTCAAATACGGAATGGCCAACACACTCTAGGCCACTCAAGGTCGTTGAAACGAAACGGCGGGCAGTTTTGAGTGAATCTAACGTTTTTACCGTGCTCAGTGGTTTGAATTTAGTGGCGTTTCAAACTGCTGTATAAATACGAGTCACGTTCGGAAGCCTGAGTGGGTCTCTTTTAAAGCTTTATTTTATGAACTTTAGACTAAATTTAGTCAATAAGATAGTTGGAGCTATTTGTTGCGTTATATCAAATGTTGGTTACTTCTCTTTGTTATACTTCTTATGTATTTAATGGTACACGTTTACATGAAGTAGTATCGTCCGCTTCACTGCATAGTAAAAACATACTCCTGACTGTGTCCATTCGCTGACAGGGAAATTTTGGTGAAAAACGCAAAATTTCCCCAAGACTGAAAAAAAACGGGGTTTTATTCATTTTTATTACCCTAAATTGTAGGAAGATTCTGGGGAAATTTTGATGTTTTTGTTCCATTTCCCCAAAATTTCTCTAACGTTCACTATGGCGGCTTCCCCAAAATGGGTCAAATTTTTCCCAAAATTGGGAGATTGAGATTTAGAATAACAAACCTTCTGTGGAATGCAATCATGCACAATTAATAGTGAAAACCCCGGCGTTTAATTATCAGCCACAGGTTATTTAAGATAAGTAACGCTGTGTTATAAAGCGTAAAGTTATGTGTAAATATCGTGATTTTTCATATGTATTTTTGAAGTTGTATTGTGAGTTAGTGTCTATGTCTGTTCCATTCCAGATGATCACATTATTTGTGATGGCTTCCAAGTTTTTGTAGCATCAACCTCAATGTTATCAAGTGATTATAGTATGTAATGAAAATCAACAGGCCACTTAACTTCTATCTTTATGAAATTTCTTTCAATACGGCATTTTTACGGAGACAAAAACACCCCATATTTATTATAAACTTGAAAAGTATATTGTAACATGGACTAAGGAGTATATATTGTTGCAAATATTGACTTATTTTGCATATATATATTGCTTGACAAAACTCTGCATGTAAATCAAGATTCAAAACATTAAGAAAATTTTAATTCTCTAGTAGTCAAAGTCCAGGCGAACACCGTGTGTTTTGGACAAAACCATTTATTGCACTACATTAAGTTGAATTTCCTGATGTCACGTCTTTTGTTTTTGCACGTAACTCAGACGTATTACATTACTCAGTTTTGGTTGAGGAAATATCGACTTGAAGGTGAAGTCATTCAGTAAGCTACAACGTTGGAACAGGCACATATATGCGTCAGTCCAAGTTGCTTGAAGGTGAAAGTATTCTTTACCTTCGAAGTTACAATACTAAAGTTCCATATTTGAAAATAATATTTTGCCATGCTTGTCACAAAACTAGTCCTAGATAGTATTGTGGGAAGATCGAATATAATTCCACACTGAAACGATGCTTTCTAGCACTTATTGATATTTCGTTGACTGATTTCATGAAATTCACTTTATCAGTTTCACTCTGATCAATACCCTCCTTTTTTATGGGACAAGCAATTTTGTTATTGACAATTTTATTATTTATTATGCTTTTAACAAAAACATTTTTTGTTCCTTGATAACCTGTAGCTATGTCTACAAATATAACTCATCAACCTTCACATATTGCTCATGATCAGCGTTCAGTTAGTAACAAGTCTTGGTTCCACGGTTGTACGGTGTGGTTTACAGGTAGTTCCTGTTGAATAGACTTCTATATAACTTTGTTTAATCTGTATTTTTATATTTTAATGACATGGTTTATAATGAAAGCTATCTAAAAAAATCGTTATATAGCTGTTCACATATCAATCGTGTTATGAATTCATTGTCGCATGACCTCGAACATATGCACATTAACTACACATGGAGTTGCCGACCACTTCTTATCCTCTTCTTCCCTACTCGTCGTATTTACAAATAATTCATCAACAGTGAGGCTTGTTACTTTTGGGTGGTGTTTCGTTCTCTAGACTGGATTGTTTAATTAAAAAGCTTTCATTGCTCGCCGGAGCACCATCAGCACAAACTTCAGGTATAAGTTACTGAAACCCTAGGAGACTGAGTGACAGTCTCAAATATGGGACTAACTTTCAAAGTTTATTTGATTACTACAAATATTTAGTGTATTTAAGTGTTAGAAGCTCATTATCTTAACCACATCACAGAAAAATAAGCTAGGTAAATTACATTACTACATTTCGTCATTTCACTCAAATGATTGTCATGTACTCCAGTATTATAAAAATAATACTGCTAAACTTTTTCTTGCTCAAAGTTTTCACTATTAATCTCAAATTTTTTCTATAGGTCTCAGTGGAGCTGGCAAAACGACTTTGGCATTTGCTCTGGAACATCATCTGGTTAATCGAGGCATATCAGCTTATGTATTAGACGGAGATAATATTCGCTCTGGTTTAAATAAAAATTTAGGATTCAGTGATGAAGATCGTGTGGAAAATATCCGACGTGTCAGTGAAGTAGCTAGGTTATTTGCTGATGCAAATAATATTTGTCTAACTAGTTTTATTAGCCCGTTTGAAAGTGTAAGTTTAGTTTTTCCATTCCTCAGGATGTATGTCTATTTATTTATTTTTTCATTACTCGTACTCTCATAATTTAAGATTCAAAATGAAATCGTAAATTTATTTTCATCGTTGCTATCTACTTTTTGGGCACAGTCTCTGTCTAGTTATTTTTATTTATTTATTTGAACACATAAATATTGGTACAAGAGGGCACCAAATATATATGCGCCACACAAACAATGAGAATGGGAATAGAAAAAAGAAGGTAAGGAGCGTAAAAGAAAAAAGAACAATAACGACCAGCTTAGTGTAAGGTAGTGTAATAATAATGGTAATAATAGTAATAATGGGGGAAACGGAAGGGTAGAACCAGAAAGAATTCTTTCAGTTAAGGAAGTTACAACCACTTTTTATGAAGAAAGTAAAAGAAGGTTACAGCAGGATCGCCACTTGCTTCTATTCTGAGCCATATCTGATAACTTCTTTAGCCATTGTGTTGCACCATCTCTCGAACCCCAGCCAGGAAGTGAAGGACCAACAGATGCCAGTCCTGTGCAGCTTTCTTTGATGCCACGACACCATTTCATATACTGACCACCTCTCCGATTTCTCCAACCAGTCCCAGCGTCGGCAAATAATGCATGATGTGGAATTCTGTGGGACGACATTCGTAGAACATGTCCAAGCCACCAAAGTTGATGTTTCAAGACGGCGACACCAATCGCATTATCATCTCTGTGCCCGAACACACGATGCCGAACTTCTGCATTACTAACATGGTTTTGCCACTGGATGTAAGCAATCCTTCGGAGACAGCGGTGATCAAACACAGAGTCGCCTAACATTCCCAACTTAGAAAGGTCAGGTTTCACAAGCATAGAGCAGAACAGCTCTCACCGACGCATCGTAGATCCGACCTTTTAAAGCCAGACTAACATCACGAAGGCGCCAAAGATGACCCAGATTGGCATAAGCCGCTCTGGCTTACACTATACGTGCATTAATCTCATCACTCACACCCCCACCAGCACTTATGCAGCTACCCAGATACACGAACTTCTCGACTACGTCTATCTGCTCACCATCCAGGGTGAGTACAGGATTAGGATCCTGACAGTCTTGTAGAAGTACTTTGCACTTCGAAGGTGCAAAACACATACCATACCTACGGACACTGATTGCCAACTGATTAAGTGCGGATTGCATGGCTTGGGCATTATCGCACAGTAAGACAATATCGTCCGCATACTCAAGGTCGAGAAGTCTTTCTCCAAGCAGTAAATCCTCACCACCATTACTAACATCCATTAGAGCTGTTTTTAGAATGTCATCGATGGCACATAACCGACTGTTAATCGATTGATGCTGCCTCAGCTCTAGTGCTCAGTGTTACACCAGCACCAGCAAGACCAGATGAAGATGCCACAGGGTCTCTGGACAAACGCACGTAAAACAAGCGTTTTGAAGCGACAGATGGAGAGCAAATTTGTAGTAATTCACCAGAGTCTTGAATACGGGTCTCGGATAGACAACAAACGTCGATATTAAGACTTCCTAAAAACATACCCAGCCCTATCTGTTGTCCGACCTGAATTAATGTGCGAACGTTGAAGGCAGCCAGTTTGAATGGTGCACGTGGTTTCAAGAAAACTGCTTCAGCATTCGTATTTGGTGGTAGCATACAATTTTCAACCGGACAGTGACTCAAGAACGTTTAGATGGAATCGAGTTTCCACCATAGGCAAGCTGCTGTATAAGTCGAAAAATAAGGATACATAAAGTGGGAATAAAAGAGAGTGAATAAATGATGTAGTCAATAATAGGAATAATGTGAATTGTTTGACTGTTAATCGAATTGTGCACAGAATTTTCAGTAGATGTCGTCATTTTCATTTTATTTGTGTGTGGGCTGTGATACTGCCCGGATGCCGAAACCGAAGCAAGTGGTTTTCTTAAGGAGCCACACCCCAAGCCTTTGACCTAAAGGTCTGACCTGCAAGGCAGTGGAGCATGGTGAAGAGATGCAGTCCCATGGTAGCCGGTGACCAACGATTGGTTCATACGACATTTGTTCGCTCAGGATAATGGAGCCCACGTGCACCATTGGTTTGGGGTCCGGTTAAAGCGCCGGACATTCGCTTTTTGTCCTCTTGTTTTCGTAAAGAACACCTCCACCACGAGAAGGCAGTGAGTAGGACTTCCCTGGCAGACGCTGTATACGCGTGGCCATGTGAGAGCATTCCGAGAGTGAGGGCGGGCTGACCCCACTCTTGGCCATACCAGGGCATTTGGGGGCTAGTGATTTTAACTATTTGATGGACTACGTAATGACTAACTTCTACAGCTATGGATTTGACGTAGTTAGCTTTTGAATTTTATCGACCAATGAAGAAGGGGTGTTAGCAGAGGAATCAACGATATGAATATTTCATAACTAAACGGGAAACAAATTATTATGCACATAAGATTAGGAGTAAATACACCTGTGGCATTACTTTACTTTTGTCGTATAATATTATTGACCGTTGGTATTAATGTCTCCAAAATTTCTTATATATCCCTTTTGGGTTCAAGTCACAGTAAAATACGTCATCAATTCACTTCGCTACCTGGCCGGATCACCATTAGATGCTGTCAAATCTTTTTCCTTCCCGGTCAACTTCTCATATCCGAAAAGATATTTTGCGAGTATCAGCACGATGTATTTTTATCGCTTCGGAGCAATTTTTAAACTTCGGGTCTCATATATGCGGTTTTATTTTCTCATCTTCCAGAGGCGGTACTTTAAATGCCAACAAAGTAGGTTGTTGGTGTCTTTCAGAGCTATTTTAGGAAGTCGGGAGTGCCATTATACAGGCTTGTTCCATCAACACAGGCTATTAGATTAAAAGTTGGGGAACTGACAGTGTCATTTTACATAACACTAAATACAAAAGAATTTATTGGGTTTACAATTTAGGAAATCCATGCACGCACGATTAACGCTTCCTGTTTGCCCAAATGATCGGTCCTTGTGTTTTTCAAATAGGATAAAACGTGAATTCTGGGTTCTACCGGTGGTCACAGTCCAATTTTACTAAAATGTGTGGTAATACAACTTTATTAAGTCAATCTTCGGACGTACATATGCCGGAAGAGACTAATCGACCACAGTCTCGAATAATAACGACATGTGTTTACAAACTCAAATAGGTTGTATATTTGTCTGACTAGCCGTTTGTAATCAACCAAGCTTCAACAAATGATATGACATTAAGGGACAAGTTTATTAATCAGCATAACAACTTGAACCAATACACGTTCGTGTTACGTCGTTCGTTTTTATGGTCGAATACTTGATTGTTACATCTAGTACATCACTTTTTAGAAAATTATAATCACTTCGAATCAGTGGATATTGATTGAGTAGCAAAATGAGGTTAGATAAATCATTTCTGGGAAATAAACTATAAGGATGTGTTGACTGGCTAAATAAATCATTATAGCAAATGTCTATAGACTGATGAAACTGTTTTGACAGCATTTTTATAACTGAGCGAACAGAAAGAAACAACGGTCAATAAAGTAAATTTGCATGAATAAGCGAGAAAATAACGAGTTATTTCATTACCAATAGACAAAAACTGTCTTTTAAAAGAAGTTATCTATAAAAGCCGGTATATACCTTAAAAATGTAAAATTTGATTGTTTTTCTCTAGCTTATATCAAAGATAGAGCTTTTTAGGTACTATGAATGAATGAATATTTAAGTATGTAAAAGAAACTATATGGATACTAGATTTAATAACCTACAAATAATTAGTGTATTAAGATCTTGAGTGGATCGAAATATTTTCAAACCCTAATCTTTCGGATTATTGCTTATACTCTTATTACGTCTACCACTACGGGATTCGAATCGACAACTGCATCTCTGTACTAATGTGGTATGGCAACTCGAACTGATATACGTACGAAGTTTTGCGTTGTTACTGACTGACTGTAATCTACAAAATGCTCCATCTTTTTCAATTATTTTTGTCTAAATTGCAATTATCCTGCTAGAAGTGAACTTTACAGTAAAATATCAGATGTTTTTTACTTAGAATTTTGTTCGTTTTATAAATCATTAAGATTGTAAAATGAACGTGTATTGTACTTTAGTGTGCTTTATAACTAACTGACTGACTTCAGTTTGAATGTCATCTTACAATAGCAATGGTTTGTTTCGTGTGAGGTAACTGTAATCTTATAATGACCTTATTTATCTATAGATTGTTTCCTCAGACATGTAGTTTAATGATATAGGTTTTCAAACTTATATTAGAAATTTGCCTAACTCATATGATCAATAATGTTATGAAATACTTTAATGACAGTCTTTCAGTATGTTATGCTAGACTTTATTTCATAAACATTTGAACTGTAGACTCCGGACGCATTGCTTCAGAAGCCACTTTTAAATTATCTATAATAATTTAACACGATTACGAAGCACCTTATATGAATGTACGCAGGTTTTAGTCCCATGCTGCAATGTCACTTGACGAAAATCCACTGAAATAGAAGAATTTGAGTAGTTAAAAAAGCCAGTGAATAAGGAATAATTGGGTGTTCCGGTTTGGGAGGAAAATATATGCCTCTACTTCTATCTACATCCGTTTCAGTTTTCACGTTGATGACTGCTTAACTTTGAATCTGGAACTATAGATTCCTCATGGCATTTGAAGAATCTCCATTCGATTAACCTACACAACACGAACAAGTAGTCAAGAACTTTGTGAACTGATATTTTATTTCTTTTCAATCGTCTTTAACTTGTTCTCAACGTAGTCGTATCGTACAGATAATTTTGCAACTCATCATCTCACATGCTTAACTCAAATTTTCAATCAAGTTGTTCAAGAAGAAAACCCGAATTTGTTGCGATTTTTTCATCAAGTAATATCATGTAGTCCATTTGCTTAAGTTTATTCAGACAATCAGATGGAAAATAATTCTTAAACGATTGAAGGTAAACAGAGCCCACATTATGAATAATAACAGTAGATATCTCTGATGGATACTGGTAATTATTATCGTTACTTCAGATAACCTTCATCTATATACTATACGTTTGTATGAATTAAGATGAATTAGCTTAAATGGTGTAAACTACCTAATTATATCATTTCATACTGTCGATATATTGTTACTAAGGTTTTCTTAAGGGTTTATTTAGCAAAATTTAATAATAGACATGAATAGTTTGTCACGTTCGCTACAATTGAAATTCTCTTTGTACAATGACCTTGACAATTTCTGATTTATCCTGATAAATCACATTCATCACGAAATTGATATAAACCGTTCATATCAATACTCATCTAGTGTGGTTGATAAAATCACTAACTAATTTTAATCAAAATGATATTCTTTATAAAGAGTAGAATATTTATTCCCATATTTTGTCAAGTATTTACTAGTGAAAACTTTTTAAACAATCTTGTTTAAAACGAGCAACAGATATCACAAGTTCTCAAAAAAATATTCCTTATAAAGATTGTCTCATATTAGCAAGTAGAATACTTTACACTTACTTACTTACGCCTGTTACTCCCAATCGAGCGTAGGCCGCCGACCAGCATTCTCCAACCCACTCTGTCCTGGGCCTCCTTTCCTAATTCCATCCAATTCTTGTTCATTTTTCTCATGTCCATGTCCATTTTCCGGCGTAATGTGTTCTTTGATCTTCCTCTTTTCCTTTGGCCTTGAGGATTCCATGTGAGGGCTTGTCCCCGCCTGGAGTCCCTCCGGGGGCTACTGCCGGTCCCAAACCCTGATAAAGGAGGAGGGTTGGGCATGGGGTTAGCGTCCCCATCCCGTAGAAAACTAACTCGCTAAAAAAACGCTAACCAGAAAGAAGAATACTTTACACCCATATTATAAATAAGCTCATGAAGTGATTATTTCTATTCTTCATAGATAAGAATTAACTTGGGATTACTACTTAGTTCTTGAATATTGGTGAATTTATTTAGAGTAATTCCTAACAAGTAAATTTGATGAACAGATGATTTTCATGGAACTGCTGGTTGGTTGGTTAGTGGTTAAACCATTCAACTTTTAACTAATAGGTTTTGGATTTCAACTGCACCCACGTATTTCGTTTTGAATAACCGTAATTGTAGTTAACTTGTAACTCAAAGCCAAAAACATTGATATAAAGTAGGTATATGAGTAAATTAATAATAATATTCAATCAATTAATAGACGGTTTTAATGAATTCCACATCATTTTCTTTCATTCTTACATTTAAAATACTTAATTTATTCATTATCTTCAGGATAGAAATGCAGCTCGCATGTTGCACTCTCAAAACAATCTACCATTCTTTGAAGTTTTTCTAGCTACCCCAATTGAAGTATGTGAACGACGTGATGTAAAAGGGTTATATAAACGTGCACGTGCTGGTGAAATAAAAAATTTTACTGGTATCTCTGCAATTTATGAAAATCCAACAAATCCCGATTTAATTTTAAATACTGAATTGTATTCTGTTCAAGAGTGTGTATCTAAATGTGTACAAATGTTAGCTACAGCTGTAAGTGATATTTAAATTTTCTGTAAAGACACTATGACATTGTATTTTATTATATTATAATGATTGTATTGAGGAGTCCCATACTAGGACGAAACGGCCGTCCAGTGCTTCCAGGTTTTCAATGGTGGTCTAGCTTCAACTGACTCATGATTTCAATCTGTGTATTTCTATTTGGCGATGCTTTTAATGAAATCTAACTTCGGTTTTGTGATATAATTAATTTGGGGAAAGTAAAGACTTTTATTGGTGAATTATGTCAGAACAATGGCTTAGTGGTGGTTAAACGTTGTTCATCTTTCAACCACTCGGTCACATGTTTTAATCCACTTCCACTTATTTCAATTTTGACAGCCGGTTAGTATAACTAGGTTTCATATATAAAATTTGATTCCAACCGGAGTACACAAATCTGTTATGTGGTAAACTGATGTGAACGGGGAAACAAGAAGCCTTGAAAAACTATGAAAGCTATTTTTCGGGACGTTATTTCATTTTATTCAAAGCTTGTCAAACAATGACATTTGTTTTTGTCTCTATTTTATTCTACAGAACATGAGCTTTCGTTCGATATGTCATTCATTGCCATACCCCTTTTTGTTCCGAAGCTATTGTAATTTAAACATAATATTTTGCACCTTATTTTCTATTCTAATTCTCAGCTTTGGACATAATTGTATTTTCCCAAATTATTGTACGTTGTGGTCGGGTAAACCACCTATTTATTCATGTACCTTTTTGCACTAATCTGAATTCAGAGAGTTCACAGGAAATCAGTGTGTCGGAGTAGAGCGAGTAGTGTTCCAACTGTCGTGTCTTCTCTATCATTCGCGTGCTTGCCAGCCAATCAGGTGCTAGAATAGTTTTCTTCTCTCTAGCCCACCTCGAACTCACACGAACTAGCCTCAAGGTTGAACTGACCGGCCTATTGCGTCAAGGTCTTAATCTAGAGTAGACGGATCAAGGTCATAACATAACTATCTACATCATGAATATTATGGCCAAGGTACTTACCAAACCATCTCATTTATAACTAAATTACGACCGACTCCTCCCACAATGGATGTCGATTGTGATCCGCAATATGTAGCAAATGAGAAACTTGCAAGAAACAGTGCTGAACTAAGACAACTGTGTTATAACTGTGAGACAGTAGCAGCTGATTAGAGGGGAGCGAATTATCGATCGGACCAAAGACGCACAGACACGTAGAACGACCTAGGGTTCTGATTGGTCCCGCTTCCCTATCTAGCCCAGTAGTTGAGTCCAGAACGAAAGTCACAGCCTCGGATATATGAATCATTATATTTCAAACATACTTTGTTTATATACCAGTCAAACAAACCACATCATACCATAAAATAGAAATAACATTGTACAATATTGGCCAGTAGGAAAATGACACGTTAAATAAGTATTGACCAATAAGAAAATAATACCATGTCCAAGTCCAAGAATAGCATCAGGCTAATAGGATAATTTCTGGGATATTTTCCTGAATATCCCAACAAACTGTCAAATATTCTCAACTGGAAATGATCAAGTTTCAGAAGAATAACTGAGAGGCAGATGAGACATTGCACTATGTACACGTTTTAGTAGGACTAGTAAGATGAGACCAGGATATACTACTCTGACTGATTTCATAAGGAACCTAATATTATTGGCTACATCCCTACAAGTTTTTATGTGACTACTGCTATTCTTGTTCTCAGCTATTCCCAACCAGAGTTATGTATAACAGAAAATGCTCTTATCAATCTTTTAAATGTAACGTGCTGACCTCCTGGTTTATGCACACTGTATATCATACTCGTGAAAATTAATTACTAACAAATTGTATACTTTAGTGTTGATATTGTGACACATAGTTGTAAACGTAAAGTTCAAATATAACTATATTTAGTTGTTTACATCCTAAAAAGAACGAAACATTTATTTTATATAAATTTTTAACGTATACAACAATTCTCTTGGATACTAAACTGTGTTCAAATTCTTGTTTGTGATTTGGCTTTAAACATATTTAACGCTTATTATTTTGGGATATTATATGAAAACTGTAGTCAGCAATGTTCCTTAAATATGTTATAACGATTAGCGGAACAATTACTGATTTCAGTTCCCTTGTAGACTATCTCTAATAGCTTATGCTAATTTTTTCCACTTGTAATATGTGCAAGATATCCGACTGCCAACTAGAGGATGAGTATACTGTGTGACTCAAAAATGTAACATTTAAAAATAACAAATATTCTTGAGTTTCTAGAGTTTGTTCATAAATGCTTTCGGATTGTTGTTTACGTGTGTTGGGATCAATTATTTATAAATCCTGAGGTTAGACAGAATAATAGATAAAGACGGCAAACCGATTAATGAGGTAATGAGTCTTCACTAACTGAGTTATTTGAGAAATGTGCTATGTTTGCCTGACCTGTTGCCTATTTTAATGCCTGATATTCATTAATGTAAACATAAGTTGGAGCAAAGCTAGAGCCGGCCAAACCAAGATGTGACACTCCGTGAAACCATTGACTATTGGTCTGGTGAACCAAGGTGATTAATCCAAACTACGTGGCTGGGTCCTACGCACTTATCGTAGCCAATGGTTGGAGACGTTGTGTGACATTCTTAAGGATCATTCTCAGAAGCACAGATACACTGATTTTTTTTATCTTCTCTGAGATATTGAGTTTTCAAGCTGTCTTGTATTATTCTATCCCATGAATTCATTTTCACTGGAATTCCCTGTGCTTTATTTTTTGTTGTTACTAGAACTGATATCATTACTATATCTGCTACACTAGCACTTTACCGTCCTTATTTGATGTGGCAACTTGAACCGATACACATACGTTCCAGGTTGTACGTTGTTTATAACTGACTAACTGTCTTCTTAATACTCAACATTCAACTGTAAGGTTATTGTACGTTTTACGGTGGTTTTATAATTTAACAATCATTTATTAAACTCTGAGTTAACCATAAACTTGTAACATTCATCATAATGCATAATAACTATACCATTTATCTGCTGAGACCGAATTAAACCATACGTATGCATACCTGTAACTTATTGGTGACAAATAAATAATTTAAATTTTCTGCACAAAACTTCATCTGCTTTCTTTTTTTTTAAATTAAGATCGAAATGAGAGCAATACTAGGACATTATATAGCTTTCATATTATTATTATTATCGCTATTTTATAGTTCAATTTTACAAGTTTTACTTACTTACTTACTTACGCCTGTTACTCTCAATGGAGCATAGGTCGCCGACCAGCATTCTCCAACCTACTGTGTCCTGGACCTTCTTTTCTAATTCCATCCAATTCTTGTTCATTTTTCTCATGTCCATCTCCATTTTCCGGAGTAATGTGTTCTTTGGTTTTCCTCTTTTCCTTTGGCCTTGAGGATTCCATGTGAGGGTTTGTCTTGTGACGTAGTTGGGTGCCTTCCTCAATGTGTGTCCTATCCACTTCCAGCGCTTCTTCCTGATTTCTTCCTCTGTTGGGATCTGGTTTGTTCTCTCCCACAGTACTTTGTTGCTAATGGTGTCCGACCGACGGATCTGAAGTATTTTGCGTAGACAATTGTTAATAAACACCATTATTTTCTGGATGATGGCTTTCGTAGTTGTCCAGGTTTCTGCCCCATACAGTAGAACTGTCTTGACATTTGTATTGAATATCCTGACCTTGGTGTTGGTTGACAGACAGTTGTTTTGAGTTCCATATGTTCTTCAGTTGTAAATATGCTGCTCCTGCTTTACCGATCCGCGCTTTCACATCTGCATCAGACCCATCATGTTCATCAATGATACTGCCAAGATATGTAAAGGTTTTTACATCTTCCAAATCTTCTCCGTCAATTGTGATTGGATTAATGCGTGTTGTGTTGTATCGGAGAATCTTGCTTTTCCCTTTGTGTATATTGAGACCTACTGCTGCTACACTGGTCGTCTTCTCCTGCATTTGTTGTTGCGTGTGCGATAGAAAAGCCAGATTATTTGCGAAGTCTAGATCGTCCAGCTGCATCCTAGATGTCCACTGTATCCCGTGCTTTCCTTCAGATGTTGACGTCTTCATGATGCAGTCGATCACCAGGAGAAAGATAAAGCGTGAGAGTAAGCAACCTTGTCTGACACCGGTCTTTACCTCGAACGAATTTGTCTAATCCATCATATGAATTCTGTATGATATTGACTATTTTCTGAGGTACGCCATAGTATCGAAGAAGCTTCCATAGTGTTGTTCTGTCTAAGCTATCAAATGCTTTTTCGTAGTCAATAAAGTTGATGTAGAGTGATGAATTTGGATGGAATTAGAAAAGGAGGCATGGACAGAGTGGGTTGGAGAATGCTGGTCGGCGGCCTACGCTCCATTGGGAGTAACAGGCGTAAGTAAATAAGTAAACAATGATCCGTAGAGTTACGATTTGGTCTGTACACGGTCTATCCTTACGGAATCCTATCTGTTGGTCTTGAGGTTAGGCGTCTACGGAGTCCTTCCTGCTTAACGATATCCTGTTGAAGACTTTTCCCGGTATTGAGAGAAGAGTGATGCCCCTGTAGTTATCACAGTTGCTGAGATCGCCTTTCCTTGGTATTTTGATCAGAAGTCCTTCTTTCCAGTCTGTTGGTTCTTGTTTTTCATTCCAAACCTTATTGAAGAGAATGTGGAGTATCTTTGCACTTGCCGCCACGTCTGCTTTCAGTGCCTCTGCCGGAATGTTGTATGGTCCTGCTGCTTTGCCACTCTTGATTTGTTTGATTGCTATGCTGATTCCTTCAATTGTTGGTGGGCCAACGTTGATTGGGAGGTCCGTGGGTGCTGCTTCGATGTTGGGTGGGTTCAGTGGGGCTGGTCGATTCAAGAGTTCTTTAAAGTGTTCTACCCACCTGTTTTGTTGCTCTTCAATGTTGGTGATTACCTCGCCTTCCTTGCTTTTCACTGGTTGCTCCGGTTTACGGTGATTTCCAGAGAGTTTCTTTGTCGTGTCATACATTTGTCTCATGTTCCTTTCTCTTGCAGCCTTTTCCGCCGTCTTTGCTAGATCTTCCACATATTTACGTTTGTCGGTCCTGATGCTCCTCTTCACTTGTTTGTTTACTTCTGTGTATTCAGCTTGTGCCTTGGCTTTTTCTGCTGGTATTGATTGCTGCCTTCGTGTTCCTCCTTTCTTGAATCTTATTCAGTGTATCAACAGTGATCCATTCCTTGTGATGGTGCGTCTTGTGGTTCAGAACCTCATGACATGTTGAAGTAATTGCCTCTTCAATTCCTTTCCAGTTGCTCTTCATAGTAGTTCCTTCTCCATTGAGTAGATCTTGAGAGGCCTGGAGCTTATTGCTGAGGACTATCTTGAATTTGTTGAGTTTGTCAGTACCCTGAGAAAAGGCCGTATTGAACGTTTGTGATATTGTCCGCCTCGTTGTCCAGTGCTTCTTGAGTCTCAATTTCATCTTTACGACCAGCAAATGATGATCTGATGCTATATCAGCTACTCTCTTGGTTCTCACATCCTCCATCATCCTCCTGAACTTTTTGTTGATGCAGATATGGTCGATTTAGTTTTGCGTGGTGTGATCCGGTGAAGTCCATGTGGTTTTGTGAATGCGTTTATGTGGGAATATGGTGCCACCTATGACCAGTTTATTGAAGGCACATAGGTTTGCAAATCTCTCACCATTTTCGTTCCTTTCTCCCAGTCCTTGTCGTCCCATGATGTCTTCATGTCTGGTGTTGTCTCTTCTGACTTTGGCGTTTAGATCCCCCATCAGAATGGTCAGGTCGTTTGTTGGGCACTTCACGACGATTGACTGCAGCCTATCGTATAATTGGTCTTTGGCGTTTTCCTTGTAGTCGTTGGTAGGCGCATAGGATTGGATGACGTTCATTGAAATGCCCTCTTTCTTAGTTTTGAAGGAGACTTTGATGATCCTTGGTCCATGAGATTCCCATTCTGTAAGTGCATTTTGTGCTTGTTTGAACAGCATCAATGCAACTCCTTGTATATGTGGGCCATTTTCTTCTTCACGGCTGGAGTATAACAGAAGGTCCCCTGAAGCTATTCGTCGTTGTCCAGCTTGCATCCAATGTGTTTCACTGATTCCAATCACCTCTAGGTTGTATCTTCTCATTTCTGCAGCGATTTGGAAGGCTTTCCTGGTCTCCCACATTGTATGCGTATTCCATGTACCTAAATAAATGGTTGCTGTGGTTGTCAGAAGGGGCATCGGATACGTGACTTCCATAGGAACTCGGCTTTCATCATTAGGCGTCATAACTCTTCTAAATGAAGACCTTCTGATTTCCAGAGAAGAGTTTAATTGGTCTGAATAATTTTTTCTGGTTAGCGTTTCTTTCGTGAGTTAGATTTCTACGGGATGTAGTCTCTAACCCCATGCCAGCCCCCTCCTTTACCGGGGTTTGGGACTGGCAGTAGCCCCTGGAGGGGCTCCAGTTGGCGTTTTTACAAGTTTTAATGCATCGTTATAATCTTGTTACAACTAAGATATGTATACTAATATATTGATACCTAGAATCTATAAAAGCCATAAATTGTTGACAGTTGTGAATTTTCAGTGGTTTACTGTTCTAATATCGATTGTTATTAGTGTGTTAGAAATAGGTTATACATAGTTTTCTTCTAAAAGTACTTCTTCAAAAAAGAAAGAAAACTATCAGTAATCTACAATAATGAGTAACAATAGTAGTAATGATAGTGTTTTTTGTGTTTAATACTAATTTAAATTCTTTGCTTATGACAGTGTTCTTTTTCCTAATTTTCACTAATGATTATTTATGGTTAACAATGATACATTCGGTCATATTTCTATAACATTATGATAGAAATTATAAAAACACTATGAAATAATATCCTAGGTTGCTTAGTGGTTTGAATATCCATTTTTTAACTAGTAAGTCCTAAGTTTCAAACTCCACTTTACTCAGTTTATTTTAAGATGTATAGTATCTGTAGGGACGGCCCCTGGTGAACTCAAAAAAGCTCTTAGAAGCTCAGAAAGAGCCACAGACATACCATTTAATCATCCTCTGAAGAACATTCCAGAATCTCGACGTGTAGCTTTCGGACTGGATAAATGATAAAAGTTACTGCATACGGATTGGATAATTGTAATGATGATTTCGTTTTTACTAAAAACTACAAATATCTGAGTATTTTGTGCCATATTTGACACTGTTAGGAATAAGATTCCTTCTCATTCGTCTTTTGTCTTCTAACTTGCAACTTGGAGGGTCCTCATGTTCGAGTGCTCTAGTTGTGCGTGGTCTAGTAAGAATACAAGTTCTAGATATAACAGTATGTATAATTTTTTGTTTTACAAAAATATGATTCAAAACTGTGTACAACGAATTTCTAGAGTTATATTGTTTTCATTATTAACAGTTTGGATACACTACACTGCAAAGTTCTTTTTTCCCCACCTGTTTTTAAGATAAATCCTGATTCATTTTTAGCACAGTAAATGTTATCTGAGTTTACGATGTTAGTTGAAATATGAGTTTGTGAATCTCCATTAACTGAGGTGGTTAAGATATGGGTTACACATAGTTCATCATCTCCTACCTCAAATGTTCAATTTAGCTCGTGTAAGTGTGGGGTATGAAAAAGGTAGGGTCAGTCAAACTAAAACCTGCCTTCAATCTACGAAGCCATGGACCGCTGGTCTGAGCCATGTTGATTGATACAGACTATCTGGTTGAGGTTCATACGATAGTCACGGTCAGAAATTGGAAAAGTCGCATAACATGGGTCAGAATTGTTTACAATGTATGATTTGCATTCACTCTATATTTTTTTCAAGATCTTAAATTCAAGTATTCCCCCATCCATAATTTCCTACTCTGTTCTTTCAAATTTAAGACCGTGTTCTCAGGATTTAATCTTTCTTTTCATAACTGCTACTACATTATTATTATTATTATTATTATTTTAACACATAGATGTTGGTACAAGGAGGCGCCAAATACATATGCGCCACACAAATCTCATTCGATATATGTTAGGGCTGTGATATTGCTCAGGTGCCCAAACCGAAGCAGGTACTACATTAGTTCAACTCCTTTACTACTCTTTATGTTAATTTCATCCCACCGTGCTGATACTGTGGTATGGCAATTCCAACCAATGTATATCAGCTTTCAGACACCATGTTCACAATTTGAATCCCGCTGCACCTACGTTGGTTTAAACAACTGGGTAACATAGTTTACCCTTACACTTAAAGTGTGAGGCTCATGTTTGAGTACGTTGTAATATATATATATATATATATATATATATATATATATCAGTCAGTAAAAACCTAGAACTTCGTACGTACGTACATCATTTCGAGTTGAAGATGTTATTCAAGGAGTATAATCCAGTGAAATCCATTTGGAAAAAGAAAGGGACATGAAGAATTCAGAAGATTAGAATTTGGGAGAACACAAAGAGTGGATGCAATATATATATATATTAATTCGATCGTACTTGCATTTGTACCAGACTCTACCTCGAATAATAATGAATAAATAAACTGGAAGTTTTAATATACTTTACCAACAAAGTCGATATATTGGGTTAACTGTTTTGAAAAGTTTTACTTAATATGAGTTAGCTCTCCCACACATATATGAAAGGTTATTTATAAAGGCTGGTACTAAAAAAGTTTCGACTTTTTAAGGCTTCACCGTAAATTACTTTTCAGATGAATATTTAATCACTAAGTATTTGAGTCGATATTTCCTATACCTGCTTCGGTTCGGGCACCCGTGCAGTATCCTAGCCCTCACTTAAACCGAATGATTTATGTGGCATATGTATTTGGTGCCTTCTTGTACCAATGTTTGTGTTTAAATAAAAAAATTAATAATAACGATATTTCCTACTGATCAAAACTACTCTTTGAATAGATATTCGTTTAATTGTCTTTTACATTGTCGTATCTTAATCAAATTAGAAAATAGCCTCAGTTGATCTTGTGTTTATTAGTGTTAGAAAATACCGACCTTGTATCTTAAGACCGATAACTTATAAATAGCACACCGTAGGTGTTAAAATTAGTGAACTTTAAGAAATTGTCGAATGATCGGGAATACTGTTCATTTTTGTTGGATTGTAACGGATTTTTTGTTCAATGTCAATCCGTTAAGAAAATACTGATCTATCTACATAACCGCATCAAAAGGCAAATGTTCATCAGAGTTAGAATCTATACAGCAATGAGACGGCGTGAGTGCGAACCCCACTGGAAGCATCATTAGTGTCCTCAAAATTCTAAGTACGTCTTACTATGAAGCGCTAATTAACGCCTAACGTTAGTTTAAGGTATCCTACCGGCTACTTTCAGCTAACTAGCATTCATATTTGTCTTATGTAGTTCGATTCAGTTTCTTTATGCACATTGTTTTAGGGACTAGTGCCTAACTGTGATGAAGTAAATCCATTTGGTGGTCCTATGCCCAAAGAATTATATGTGACCGATCCTCTAGAAGTTCAAAAATTAAAGGCACAATGTTTAAGTCTACCCCATTTAGAAATTACAGAATTGGATCTTCAGTGGATACAAACACTAGCTGAAGGTTGGGCTACACCATTAAATGGTTTTATGCGTGAAAATGAATATTTGCAAGTTCTCTATTTTGGTCAATTACAAGTATCAGACTGTAAGTTTATTTTATTGGTTATTTAATTTTGTTTAGCTGAATGTATCCCAAGGATAACCTAATAGTTGAAAAATTACAGAACTGTACTCATTTCGTAAATTCTAATACTACTATCTTCAATCTCTTTCTAACTAAGATGTTATTGTTTCGGAATTTCTAGCACTTTGAAAATTGTTGATCTCGATTACATAATCTTTGTGATGCGTTTCTGTTAGCATTAAAGAGATTTTTTTTCAAGACAATGTAACAGTATCATAATCTACACTGTATCGTTAATCATTAACTCATTTTTATGGTAAAGTATAAACCAAACCCAAGTAGGTGGAACAAAACTCGGATTAACAAATCGAAACTCTCAAAATATTAAACTATCTCTCCACCGACATTATAAACAAAGACGGATGGTGATAAGCGTTGGGATCCAGGACACGCGTTTCGTCATATTTGTGACTCGTCAGTTGGATGTACCTGTATCCCAGAGTTGGTGTTAATTTCAGGACTCCAACCCAGTATCGTTCGCTTAAATCAGGACTCAGTAGCTAAGTGGATAACATAATGGCGTTTGAATCGAACGATACTGGGTCCGGATCCCGGAGTGAACATCAACTCTGCAATACATGTACATCCAGCTGACAATTCCCAAATGGGACAAAATGCGTGTCCTGAATTCCAGTGCTAATCACCATCCGTCTTTGCTTATAAAGCTTGTGACTTAAGACAATATCGAGGCAATCCGCACAGGATGCACATATGCCAACAAGAGACTGACCAATTGCAGTCCTAAACATCAATAGAAAGGTCCAAACAAACAATATAAAAATGATTTATCTCTACCGGTTATCACTGATTTTGGGGGTGGATTGGTCATCGTCGTTGTGATTCTGTTATCATTCCAAAATGATTATGCTAAGTAGTCAGTCAGTTAACGAAACATCGAACCTGGGACCTATGTATATGGATTCAAGTTCTCATACCATATCAGCACAACGAGACTAAATTACCAAGATAAATGCTAGAGTAGTAGTGGCAAGATCAGTAATAGTGGAACAGATTAAGCACAGTATGGTTTAAGGAGAAAGAATAAATTCACGGAATAGGAAAGTTTAAGATAAATAATGAAAGACCATAGTGTAAGGAAGGACAAAATGTTTAGCAGACAATAATTTCATCGGCTAATGGGACCACATCTGGGTTTGTCAGACCTATTCCTACACCAACCAACAGTCTTCATCTAGATAGGTGGTAGTTGAGCCATATGTAATACATGTCCCAACCATATCAATCCATGAGCCTCCAAATGCCATGGTACGACCGAGAGTAGGGGGAGTCAGCTCTCCCTCACAAAATGCTCTCACGTGGCCACACATATACAGCCACTCCTAGGAAAGTGCTACTCACTGCCTTCTCGTGGCGGGGGCGTTGTTTACGAAATTGAGAGAACGAGAAGCAAATGTCCGGCATATTAACCGGGTTGGTGGATATAGAGGATTCACCTAGGGAAGTTGGGAAGCCCTGATTCCAAACCAATGGTGCACATGGGTTCCAGGATCCTGAAAGAGCAAACGGCATATGAACCAATCGTTGATCACTGGCTGCCTTGTGGATCAGACCTTTAGGTCGAAGGCTCCGGGTGTGGCCTTCTAAGAAAACCACCTGTTTCGGGTTGGGCACCCGGAAAGTATCCCAGCCCTCACAGCAATCGAATGATTTATGTGGCGCATAAACATTTGGTGCCTCGATGTACAAATGTTTATGTGTTTAGATAACTAAATAAATTCATGAAGATTTGTTGTGTCTGGTACTATTGTGGTGCGTGCTACTTATATTGACATAAGGAGCATGTAACGCGAGTCAGGAATGTAATGTCTGGCATCAGAAGATTGGGAAAATCAAAAAAGGAAGAACGGGGATAGAAAGCAATTAGTATAGAAATGAAAAAGCAATGAAGTCCGAGACAATTATTGAACATTTTGCAAATTAGGTATTATAGTATGGTTTTTCTATTTTACCAATTAACTGTGTAGTGTTGTGCTAAATATAATTCGGTTGTCCTCACCTGTGTTCACTTTCACTACACTATATTAAGCCCACATAGGCTATTCTAGACAGATCAGTTTATTCATTCTGCTCAAGCCATACTTTGACCTTGTTACTTATTCGCTTATTAACCGTGACTGTTTTTATATGATCTTATTGTGTTAGTTGCTCCCCCTATTCATTACGTGTCTGTAATTTATTTTTTGTCTGACTATGAATATTGAGTCACACTTAATCAAAACGAGTTGGCTCACTCGCTTTCTTTGCTTCGTTCCACCTTCTTCCCTTCTCTTTCTCCACTTCGTTTGTCTGATTGTCTGTCCGGGTCAATGAGTGTATACAATATTAATTCTCATTTTTGGCTTATTTTATTCCGTTGTTCTTTAACGCGAGTTAAATTGATAGTTATATACGTGGTTTAGCGACATGTATATTTTGATAGCGATCAGCGTACGATCTAACTGGATTCAGATAAAGGGCCACTAAAGGTTCAATAACCTAAATGTGAATATATATAATTCTTTTTTGACAATACTTTAAACTGAACTATGTATTATAATATTCCTTATTTCATATTATGTTTCTGTGTGTGATTGCAGGTTCAGTGATCACAAATTTCCCGATTCCAATTGTATTAGCTATATCAAATGAGGATAAAGAAAGATTTCATGGGAATGGTTCATCGATAGCTTTCGTATATAAAAGTAATATAATTGGAATGTTACAAAATTGTGAATTTTTCCCTCATCGTAAAGTAGGTGAAACTTGTTTATCGTTGGTGTATTCATGTTCTTACGCAACAACATAGCTGTTTTCTTACCAATACCAGGGGTTTGTAGAGATTATTAAATTTTGTAGTTAATATTGAGAAAGCTCTGGGTAGCTGTTTCATCTCAGTTTGAGACTCCTTAATCTCAATGTACATCCATTACCTTACTAGAGGTCTTGTAGCGATAGATTAACCTTTAGACTATCTAGCTGGTATTCAGTGGTTTACATGTATTTTGTTCTTTCTTATTCATAAAGATCATTCTATGTAGTTGATAAAAATCAGCACGCTCATGATTTGTCTTACATTATTTTGAAAATTATTACTGACACTCAAAGACTGAAATATAGAAAGAGACTGAACTGTTAATATGATTATTAAGATCAATATTTTGTGTTGAGTTTGTTAGTTTTAGTTGTCTGACACTTAGTCATGGAACATTCAGTAACTCTTACAGCTACTCTCTTTACGACTAGTTAACCTTTTGAATTCATTTCGACTAAAAGTTTCTATTCTTCAAGTATACAATTTCCTAAATTATGACAAATAATTTTTTTCCTGTCAAGATTATTTAACTATTGATTTGGGATTTATTTATGACAATCCAGAAACGTTTTATTTACCTACAGTTTAATTCATTCTAGATGGGCTTAACTGTGGTTAACGTTGTTCGAAATCAGTATTACCATGCGAGTTAGACTACCATATAACCTTTAGACTATTGTTAGACGATTAAAGGTAGTCGGAATGAAAATTCTAAACTTAGGTTTCATAATAGTTGATACTCGTCTGTAAAGTATATCAGCGATCATGTAGGCGAACACTGGTGCTTTCTTAATAAGGATACTGGTTTATCTTTAGTTCATGACTACATGTTACAGTTGGTAGATGCTTACTCTAAATTGTTGGTAGCTTGGGTCATTTTTTTCTTTTTGATTATAACTAATTTCTTTCTATTTCATAATTGTGAAATATATAGGAAGAACGATGTTGTCATATATTTGGAACTAATCATATAAATCATCCAACTATAAAAATGATTATGTCATCTGGTGATTGGTTAGTTGGCGGTGATTTAAAAGTATTCGAAAGAATCAAATGGAATGATGGTTTAGATCAGTATCGTTTAATGCCAAAAGAATTACATAGTGAATTAGTAAAAATGAAGGTAGACATTAATGATGCTTTTTTTTAAAATATTGCCTACCTACTTTTCGTTTAAGTACATGATACACTCTAATGTAACTTGCATGGTGGACAAATTGGTTAAATGCAAGAGAGTATACAGTTTCTTAAATATATAAGTTGCTAAAGTTTCGTGAAATGACCAAGTGAGCGTAGGGTGGTTTTTCTAAGATGATACTATCCTAAGTTGATTATGATGGACAAAATAATTTAATGCAGTCGTTTGGGGTACAGTTCCCAATGTTACTGTTTCATTCGTCAAATGTTTAGTTTATTCTTTGAAATTCATATGGTCAAGTTACATACCTGTCTTTTTTTACATGTTGCAGACATGCACGTCTTAACGTTGCTGCACTGCCTTGTGGATTAGACATCTAGGTCAAAGACTCAGGGAGTGGTGCCCTATGAAAACCACCTTCTTCCATTTGGGCACCCGGGCAATATTCCTGCCCTCACACAAATCGAATGATGAAGTATGGCTCATATATATTTGGTGCCTCCTTGTACTAATGTTTGTGTGTTTAAATAAATAAATCTCGTGTAAAAATAAGTCATAATTATTGTCTATGAAAGCCAGTAGTACTCAATAGCGATGTCCATATTTAAATGTGAAGTTCAATTTAAGGATGGCTCAGTGTTATTTCCCATATAAGGACAATAGAATGCGATCATAATCAGAAATGAAAGGTTTTCTAGCTGATTTGTTAATTCCGTTTGCCTTTTCTAGTCTTTTATTATTTATTCGATTTTAAATTAATTAGGCTGACTGTGTCTTTGCCTTTCAACTGAGAAATCCTATACATAACGGTCATGCATTATTAATGACTGAAACTAGACAACAATTATTAGAAAAACATGGATATCATAATCCTGTGTTATTACTTCATCCACTTGGAGGTTGGACAAAGTCAGATGATGTTCCACTCAATATACGTATAGCTCAACATGAAGCTTGTTTAGATGAAGGTGTTCTTGATCGTGATACAACTTTATTGGCAATATTTCCTTCACCAATGTTATACGCCGGACCACGTGAAGTTCAATGGCATGCTCGTACGCGAATGTTAGCTGGTGCTCAGTATTATATAGTTGGACGAGATCCAGCGGGTTTACCTCATCCTAATGGAACAGGTGTTGATTTATATGATCCATCTCATGGTGCTAAGGTATGTTGTATATGTGTTGTTTCACATTATCAACAGTTTCTATTGTGTCATAAAATGCCTCATTAAATTTAATTAAGTGTTGTCATTTATATCACGTACCGACAAATAGTGAACATCAGGGAACAATGAATAGTCGTTTCGTTCCATCATGGGACTCCTCAATAGTATGTATCCACAAACTCATCTGCGATCAAAATCATGAACTTCAGTTTTCACGGCAAGAGTTTAACCTTTAGATTTGCAAACTAGCATTCAATGGTTTGCATGTTTAACTATGGTCAGTTTACGATATTGCGAAAAACAAACTGTCCAGTATTTCTTGATTTTCAATGGTTGTCTAACTGGTCGGTTAATGACCTCAGTAACGTTAAACAATTTTCAAAAATTCGTGGAAGCAACAAGAGACTGCGGTGATTGTACATGGACTTTATTAAATGTGAGACACTGGCATAATAAATTGTTCATTTTCTTTTTAAAATAATGCTGAAGATTGTGAATAAATCTTTTCCTCCATTGGCATAAATACTACGATCGTTTAACTTAGTTTCATCTCAGTTATTGGTTTGCGTCATTTTAAACAGTCAACTTTTAGAACGAAACTTCTTTTACCTGGGTTTGTTCAGTAGTGAATGAATTTATGAACTGATTTCATTCTTCTGATCTGATTAACTCTAGTAATCTATTCATCTAATCTATGTTTTATCCGTTGTTGTTACATATCAGTGATGATATTGCGGATGAAATATTTCTGTATGATGGAAACTCTAACAAGATGCAGAATTTTTTTATCGTCTTGAGCAACTATATAAATATGTTTGGGATGGAACCCGCCTCCTCTAAGTTCTAACTGGTCTGCGTCAACACCTTAACTAATGATAGGAAGTGAAGTGGTTGAGCTTATCGTTCACTTCACTTATCTCGATTGTCTGATCAACTCTGATGTGTCGGTATTTGATGAAATATCTGTGAAGGTTCGAAAAACTCGGTTGACTTTAGATAACTTGCCTTACTTGTGAATGGGATGTCCTTCCGATGAAAGGATGAATATACTGCACAACGGTTCTCGCTGTTCCACTCCGTAGGTGTGAAACATAATTACTAATAATAAAGTATATTCATAGACTGCGAGTATTCGATCATGGGTGTTTCCAAAACATCGGAAGCGTATTTTGGAACCACCGCACGAGCTATGTTGAGGTTAGGCATAGGGTGCTTGACAAAGGTGGCAAGTCGATTGACGAGGTAGTAAGTCTTCACCAACTGTGATGGAACATATGTTACGTATACCCAACCACCACCTACCTCGACGAGCCATGTTTTCTGGTGTAGTAATAGGCTGGAAAAAAGCTAAGGACAGCCAAATCAAAACGTGGTATCATCAGTGCATGAATTCATTTACAGTTGGTCTTAGTCATTTTGGTAGATGTAGACTGCATGGTTGAAGTCCTGACGATTATCGTAACCAGCAGCTAGAGGCGTCGGATAAAATGTCTATTTGTGCTCATTTAATGTGGCAACTTAAATTAGAACATATGTCCTGGATTCTAGTTTGATTATGAATGACCGACTGATATATCGAAAGAGATGGGTACTGCCTATGTACAACAACAAAATAAATATGTCATTACTATAGAGGTTTACAGTTTTATTATGTAGAGATCACTAAAAATATTATTATTATTCTACAGATTATTGCCTGTTTTAGACCAAATGCACCATTATTGAAAAACCAGAATTGATTGCCTTTGAATGTATTTTCTTAATCATTTCATTAAGTTATAGAATACCTTTCAATAAACTATCATACTATCATGTAAACAACAAAGAATCAATATGATTGCTTTTCTTTCGAGACATTGAAAGTTCGCTTTCAATAAAGAGTAGTTCTCTCGTTCTGTATGTCTTGTTAGATTGTCATTTTATTGCTTTTGTTGGACGTATCTAATGGCCGTGTTAATTTTACACTCATATACTAGAATTAATATTCAGTTTGTATTATATAAATTGTAAAATATGACACATTAATTTATTTTTCATGTTTATTACGTAGATTGCAAAATCCAACAATTATTAGTGTAGTTGAGTTGTCTTGGCTGCATGGTTTAATCTCAGAGCTTTCACTATCACTCGTTAGTGTTTCCTTCATGTAGAAGTAAGCGCTTTATTCATTTTACGAGTCATAAGCTAGCTTGTTCTCGTACCTTTGATTACGACTCGTTATCCTCTTAGATTTTATTATGTTCAGATGTTTGTATATTCAAGTTGACTACTTTGTTCCGTTGATGTTTGGTCAGGCTGTTGGATGGTTTTTTCTTCTTATGGGTTGTTAGATTCAGTTTCATTCAGTGTGTCGATTAAGTGCTGATCGATTTGAATAACATGCTTCCAAAGAGACTAGGGGACACTTGGAATTTCCCTGATCCTAAATTTTGACCATTGCCCCAGCCAAACGTATATTTGAAGTTTTTATATGGCATTCACATTCCTGAGACAAATATATCAGGAAACGAGGTAATTACAATGAAAAAACATGGTTACTATGGGGAATACAATTTCGTAGTTCGCATTTAATGGAATTTCGACGCTCAGAAATACGAATTTCAATTGCACAGTTAAGTAGATATGCTTTGTACATTTTTAGCACACAAGTGTGATTTATGAAACCCTTTTCTCATACACTCCCACTGGCCTCTATCTCTCGACGTTGCTCCACTACCTTGTGGATTATACCACTAGTTTAAAGACTTCGAGTTGAACTAGAACCCTATTTAAACTATCTACAGCACTTCGATCGCCCGAACTGTATCCCACTCCATCCACCAATATATTAATCTATTATGTGGCACATACAGCTTTGGCATCGAGTTGTATCAGATTTTAAATGTAATAAGCCAAATAATCCTAGTATTAAAAAGAATATATTTGTAAAATCTCAGCGAATGAATTTTTAAGTAAATCCAACATTTCGTCTGGCAATTTGGTCCAAGATTTTTCAAGGAAATTATAATCAAACAACAAAATTATCGAATATAAATAGATACAAGGTTCTTCGGTTTACTGTATACTGAATAAGTCATCCAATCAACGTGAAGGATTTTCATATAAATAAGTATTTGTATTCATGTGTAAGTGACATGTTTATATGAAAATAATATGAAAATATAATAAAGGTCAAACAAATAAAAGTTCATTTGAAAATAACCAAGGGAAGAGAAAGAATAATAAGAAATTGTCGTGTTATCCTAGGCCATAGAATGACTTAAGGATTACAAGGTAAATTCAAGGTTATGACAAATTGTTTTTGTACACATCAGGACAAGGTATGTGTTAAGATAACACAATGTGTTTATACGCAAGTGATTTGAGAAGAAATTTCATTCAACTAAATATTGACTTTGGTCTGTGTATATTAAGAAAACAGATCATTTTTATATATGAAATGAATCAAAAATGCCACAGCCTGCATTAAATCAAGATAAATAAGATAAGTTAACAAAATAAAAGAGGAATGTATATGTAATTGAAAGTGTGTGTTATTTTTAATGTTCCAGTCAATTGTTTAACATATATTCAGATAAGATAACGGATTTGAATCATTGAACGTATTATCTATCAATTAGTTACTATGGCATAGATATATCAAATTGCAAAAAGGAGATCAGATTTATTTATTAATTATTAGTTGCCATGGAACAGCTAGTTGTATTCCATCTCTCCTATTAATATTGTTTGAATTAGCCCATATATGTAGGGCTTCGGCTGTTAGTCGTTCTTTGTAAATCCTTTTTGAATGATTCTCGTGCCATTGAAATCAACTGTATGACCCGATTCAATCGAGTGTAATGCTATCGCTGATCTGTTCTCAAGCTTTTTTACATCAATTGAGGATTTAGGAATGTGCTTTAAGCACCGTTTGTGTTCCTTCACCCTCACATTCAGTTGCCTTGATGTTTCACCTACATACGTTGCATTACAGTCATTACATTTGATTTCATAAACACAATTCTGTTGATCATCCTTGTGTATTGGATCTTTGATTCTTACTAGTTTTGATCTTAGAGTATTGTTTGTTCGAAAGAATACTCTTATATTTTGACGAGTTAAAATCCTTCTGATATCTTCTGAGATACATCTACGATATTGGATCACTACTGTGTTCATCCAATCTTGCTTAACTCTTTTTAAAAAAATATCATTCCGTTCTTCATTCTTAATTATTCTTTTAATAAAACCTTTCGGATAATTATTCATTAATAGAGTGGATACAACTAAATTCATTTTCATTTTTATATCATTTGGTTCAGTGACAAGTTTTTTACTCTGGTGACCAAATTTTTGGCCACTGTCACTTTGGTCGAGTGTGGATGCGCAGACTTAAGATCTAAAAATTTCCCTGAATATGTAGGCTTTCGGAATATATTAATTTTTAAACAATCATTATCCCTCCTTTCAACCAACCAGGCAGTCTAGAAAAGGTAATCTGCGTTCAGGCGATTCCAACTCTTTAGTAAACTTGATTTTATCATCTAAGCTGTTGAACCGTTGGAATAGTTCGTGTAAACCATCTCGTTTTATAATGACAAAGGTATCATCTACGTATCTTACCCAAATTTTTGGTGGAATGGAACACATTGAAATAGCAATTGTTTCCAATAAATGCATGAATAAGTTAGCCACAATTGGAGAGACAGGTGATCCCATAGCCACACCTTCTGTTTGTCTGTACAGAACTCCTCGAAAAATGAGAACCGTTAAATGTAAGCAAAGCTCCAACGCTCTAATAATGTCTGAGGGGTCTAGAAGGCAACGCTGTTTAAGTTCAATGTCAGAATCTAACAGGTTATACACAATATCTAAAGCTTTTTAAACAGTAACATTAGTTACTAATGAACAAACATCAAAACTTACCATTATTTCATCCTCTTCTATCCGAATATTCCTGACAATGTTTTTGAAATCATTAGAATTTTTTATTCCATATTTTATTACGCTTTCATATGGTTTAAGAATTTTGGCCAAGTATCTAGAAAGGTTATAAGTTGGTGAATTAATGTAATCAACCACAGGTCTTAATGGTACATGTGTTTTGGATATAAAGAGAACCATAAAGATGAACCTAGTTTTGGCTTTAAATTCTGTAGCAATTTGGCCGTTTCAGCTTTCAACTTATTTAAAGTGGCTCTACATTTGCTCTCCATGATTTTTTCATACGGTCCATTATGGAGATGTTCATTGACTTTTCTTTCATAGTCAGAATTGTTCATAACAACAGTGGTGTTTCCCTTGTCTGCTTTCATAATAACAATTGTTTTGTCTTTCCGTAACTGTTTTATGGCATACGTTTCTTCTTTAGAGATATTAGGCGTATTAGGTTTTTGATTTTAAAATTACAGCTGCGACTTTAAACCTCAATGAATTTGCCTGATCATCCGTAACAATGTTTAAAGCAGGCTCAATCAACGGAATAATTTCAGAAACCGAAATCCGTGTTCTGTTCATATTGAAATTGAGACCTTTGTTAAGTATTGAAAGTTCGTGTTGATTTAACTGTCTATCAGATAGATTTTCCACTATTTTGTTTATATCGAGTTCCCTGGATTTATTTTAAATCTCATCATTGTTGGATTTCGACGAATGCTTAAACATTTGTTCAAATTTTCTTATTTGACGTCTTTGGCAAAATATCAGCTGTAATTTTGAATCAAAAACCTAATACGCCTAATATCTCTAAAGAAGAAACGTATGCCATAAAACAGTTACGGAAAGACAAAACAATTGTTATTATGAAAGCAGACAAGGGAAACACCACTGTTGTTATGAACAATTCTGACTATGAAAGAAAAGTCAATGAACATCTCCATAATGGACCGTATGAAAAAATCATGGAGAGCAAATGTAGAGCCACTTTAAATAAGTTGAAAGCTGAAACGGCCAAATTGCTACAGAATTTAAAGCCAAAACTAGGTTCATCTTTATGGTTCTCTTTATATCCAAAACACATGTACCATTAAGACCTGTGGTTGATTACATTAATTCACCAACTTATAACCTTTCTAGATACTTGGCCAAAATTCTTAAACCATATGAAAGCGTAATAAAATATGGAATAAAAAATTCTAATGATTTCAAAAACATTGTCAGGAATATTCGGATAGAAGAGGATGAAATAATGGTAAGTTTTGATGTTTGTTCATTAGTAACTAATGTTACTGTTTAAAAAGCTTTAGATATTGTGTATAACCTGTTAGATTCTGACATTGAACTTAAACAGCGTTGCCTTCTAGACCCCTCAGACATTATTAGAGCGTTGGAGCTTTGCTTACATTTAACGGTTCTCATTTTTCGAGGAGTTCTGTACAGACAAACAGAAGGTGTGGCTATGGGATCACCTGTCTCTCCAATTGTGGCTAACTTATTCATGCATTTATTGGAAACAATTGCTATTTCAATGTGTTCCATTCCACCAAAAATTTGGGTAAGATACGTAGATGATACCTTTGTCATTATAAAACGAGATGGTTTACACGAACTATTCCAACGGTTCAACAGCTTAGATGACAAAATCAAGTTTACTAAAGAGTTGGAATCGCCTGAACGCAGATTACCTTTTCTAGACTGCCTGGTTGGTTGAAAGGAGGGATAATGATTGTTTAAAAATTAATATATTCCGAAAGCCTACATATTCAGGGAAATTTTTAGATCTTAAGTCTGCGCATCCACACTCGACCAAAGTGACAGTGGCCAAAAATTTGGTCACCAGAGTAAAAAACTTGTCACTGAACCAAATGATATAAAAATGAAAATGAATTTAGTTGTATCCACTCTATTAATGAATAATTATCCGAAAGGTTTTATTAAAAGAATAATTAAGAATGAAGAACGGAATGATATTTTTTTAAAAAGAGTTAAGCAAGATTGGATGAACACAGTAGTGATCCAATATCGTAGATGTATCTCAGAAGATATCAGAAGGATTTTAACTCGTCAAAATATAAGAGTATTCTTTCGAACAAACAATACTCTAAGATCAAAACTAGTAAGAATCAAAGATCCAATACACAAGGATGATCAACAGAATTGTGTTTATGAAATCAAATGTAATGACTGTAATGCAACGTATGTAGGTGAAACATCAAGGCAACTGAATGTGAGGGTGAAGGAACACAAACGGTGCTTAAAGCACATTCCTAAATCCTCAATTGATGTAAAAAAGCTTGAGAACAGATCAGCGATAGCATTACACTCGATTGAATCGGGTCATACAGTTGATTTCAATGGCACGAGAATCATTCAAAAAGGATTTACAAAGAACGACTAACAGCCGAAGCCCTACATATATGGGCTAATTCAAACAATATTAATAGGAGAGATGGAATACAACTAGCTGTTCCATGGCAACTAATAATTAATAAATAAATCTGATCTCCTTTTTGCAATTTGATATATCTATGCCATAGTAACTAATTGATAGATAATACGTTCAATGATTCAAATCCGTTATCTTATCTGAATATATGTTAAACAATTGACTGGAACATTAAAAATAACACACACTTTCAATTACATATACATTCCTCTTTTATTTTGTTAACTTATCTTATTTATCTTGATTTAATGCAGGCTGTGGCATTTTTGATTCATTTCATATATAAAAATGATCTGTTTTCTTAATATACACAGACCAAAGTCAATATTTAGTTGAATGAAATTTCTTCTCAAATCACTTGCGTATAAACACATTGTGTTATCTTAACACATACCTTGTCCTGATGTGTACAAAAACAATTTGTCATAACCTTGAATTTACCTTGTAATCCTTAAGTCATTCTATGGCCTAGGATAACACGACAATTTCTTATTATTCTTTCTCTTCCCTTGGTTATTTTCAAATGAACTTTTATTTGTTTGACCTTTATTATATTTCATATTATTTTCATATAAACATGTCACTTACACATGAATACAAATACATATTTATGAAAATCCTTCACGTTGATTGGATGACTTATTCAGTATACAGTAAACCGAAGAACCTTGTACTTATTTATATTCGATAATTTTGTTGTTTGATTATAATTTCCTTGAAAAATCTTGGACCAAATTGCCAGACAAAATGTTGGATTTACTTAAAAATTCATTCGCTGAGATTTTACAAATGTATACTTCTTTTTAATGTCTCACATTAACTCGGCGCCCAAATATTGTGAAACTATTCGTTCAAATTTAGACGATAGTTCTTATTATAAAATCCTAGTACTTAGAATCATAAATCTTTTGAGTCCTTCAGAGAATGACATATATAGTGTCGTTATTTTATCCACAATTTGAATAAATTTTCAATTATCAATGATACAATAATAAGATTGTGTTTATCTTACTTTATTGTCAAAAAATATGTGGATAGGTATTATCTATGGCTCCTGGTTTATCCAACTTGAAAATTATTCCATTTCGTGTTGCTGCCTATGACAAGACAATCAACAAAATGTCATTTTTCGATTCAAAACGTTCATCAGATTTTCTATTTATATCTGGTACTAAAATGCGTACATTAGCTCGTGAAGGTGTGGAACCACCGAATGGATTTATGGCCGAGAAAGCATGGAAGGTTTTGTCAAATTATTATTGTCAATTAAATAAATCTGTTTAATTGAATAAATGAAAACAAAACAAAATCTGAATGAGATTAAAGAGATTGTATGTTTGTTTTTCTTTCAATGAATAAACTATTTATTTATCAGTACAAGTGCATATTGTTTCACCATTTCTAATGTTTATTACTCATTTTCTATTTATTCACATATCTATATATTTTTATGTGTGTGTGTGTGTACCTGGCTGAAATCTACGTTTATTCTTTAGAGAACCTGTGCTCTATGTTTGTTTTAATAGTTTTTTTTACTCTTTTATAAGATCGTTTGTCTAAATTTGATCAAATAATTTTACGGGATTTGGGTGCCGTGTTGATATGAGATGTTAAAGGTGATTAATGTATTTTATTTTGCCTTCTTATTTGCTGGTTGATTTGTTTTGTCTCATGTTGTTGTTGTCTTTGCTTTTCAACATAATTTCTTTGAATTGGCTTGCTTTTAATTTCATACTTAAGCGTTCTTTACTCTTCTCCTTTCATGAGAAGTAAATATTTCTTTCCGTTTTTTCTCTCTTGTATTATTGTCTCTTATATATCTATGTGATTAACTGCTTCTCAGTTTTCGGTTAATCATAATTGCAGTAAGCTGTCACAATTATTATCTCATCACTACATCAATCTAACTGATTTATCATTCATAAGTTAACGAACTAAGTTAATTCGGCTGTTATTTTTGAAATTTCCTCACTTTTCTTCAATTCATCTACAGTTGTTGATATTGCTGTCTTTTCCTCTTCTTCACAATTTCAATATTTCTATTTTGAATTCCAATATCTCTTTACACTTTCATACATACATACATACCTTCTTACTCTATCATATCAGACCATCTTCTCATCGTTACTACAGTTATTTCATCTTATCATGCTAATCTGATAACGACTAATCCATATCTGTCCGATAATCTATGCTGAAGATGTTTTATCTACTAAATAATCATTTATGTGCCTAGACAAAAAAGAACACAAAACAAGTGTTATTGTGATAATAGAAATATCTTTTTCTGTTTTTCTGTGACTTTTTTTTGTTTTGATCACAATCGGTTTTCTTGTTTGTTTGTTTTTAACTTGGACTATTATGTAATTTTCTTTCTACTGGTTATTTTGCAAAAGATTGATTTATTGAATAATTATTTTTTATGTTTGTATTTTTACGTGCCTATAGGAATACATGTGTTTTTTTTGGGGGGGGGGAATGTCGAAGTCCTCTGTTTTATACCAGAATGTATGAAAATTCCTTCTGTTTTATTTCATACGTATAGCTCTATAAAATATAGATGATTTTGTGTTGACTTGTTTTTAATTAACTTATGTTCCTCTACAACTGACGTATATTTGACACATACCTTCGTTTTGATATAGATCTGTAACTTAAACGCAATATCTGTCTATTTATATGAGACTAAGTATACCGTTCAACATTTTGCCCTGTATTACTGTAAGATTATGAAACATAGTTAATTATAGTAGGAGACATTTATAAGTATATTGAAAAGTATTCACAATTACATGTATCTTCAGAGAACTACTGGAATGTAGTGAAACAATGACAAAGCGTTGTAGGTAATCATTGGATAGATTGATTAATACAACCCTTAATCTAAATTAACTGAGATGGTTGAGATATAGTTTTACGCATGACTAAATGCTGTTTACTTCAATGTGCTGTGATGGCTAGCACATGAGCAGGTGGAAATGTTAAGATCAATCAAGTTATTAAGTAGTTTAAGGAGAGCAAAAACGAAGACTGGTGCAGAATAATACGAACTCATTTTATTTCGTTTGGTTCTTATCAACTGCTTACAACTTATATTTTAAAATAAACGTTTTTACCGATATTGACATACTTATACATTCGAGGGTGAATGAAGATGAATATGTGTATCATGATGTAGCGAAGATTTCAATAGAGTTAATAAGGTCATAAAAATTTTTGTTTCAAATAACGTTTAGGAGGGAAAGTTCTAGAACATTGAAATAGTAATTAGAACTCATGGAGTTAACAAGCAATAAATGATTGTATAATGAAGCAATTGAAAATAGATTAATGGTAATAGAGAAGGATGTGAATTGAAGAAAAATGACAATGATATAATGCAAGCTTCAGAAAGAGTTTAAATAATGAGTGACGTAATAAATAAGTGACTTTTATGTTACCAGAGCAAAGAAAGATTTATTACTGCCTCTTTTTGGGTACATAGATCTGGATTTAGACGTTTGATTGGTATCACTTCGGCAAATTTCAGAAGGTTGGAGTTTGTTTGTTAATCACATTTAAGGACTTCAATGCATCAATTTCACGTCCTGTGTCAAAGAGATATTTTTACGATGACACTGCTAAATGCTTTTCGGGATACGTTCTTTTAAATCAGACATAGGCTCTCCTTTCTGTTCTACCGATGTGACTGCTTTGGCAGATACATGTAATTAGCTGTTAGTGTGAGTTACGTTCAAAGGGATGGGAATTTTTGCTAGGTTCATGATGTGTTAATCGTGATCAACAGTTGTAAAAGTTAAGTGACATAGCCTAAAACTAGACGCAGTTATATTTTAATAAACGGAATACACCCATTAAGACATTAAATAAGAAACATTAGTTCAGCGAAGAGTTCTCTTTTCGGCGAATTCATTTTCAAAGCTGTACAATCGCAAATATATGTACCTATTTTTACAGGATGACAAGTCAGTCAGCTACAACGTAGGACCAGGCACATATGTGCATCGGTCCAGGTTGCCATACCTTCCACGGTGTGGGCAACCGGGAAGTGATAACCGCCCTCATACCTCTAACAGCACTCAAGACCACTGTATTCTAATAGGATGATAATGTTGATAATAAATTTGTTATACATGGTGACAGTGAGGTTAAATAAACAAAGGTATTAAAAAATAAAAGAAATTTTAAAACAAGGAAAGTTTAATAATCATTTGATTGTTATTGGCTTAAGTATTCATCAAAAGATAGATACGGAAATTATCATCGGGAAAGGATGGCTCAGCATGATAAAATAAAATGTTGAAACAGAGATGAAATGTAATCGGAATGATTGTGGAAATAAAAACAAACCAGTTGGGAGTAGAAGATTTAAAGGGAAGATGGAAGTCGAAGCAGATGGCTGTAAAGGAACAAGAGTATGTAAAAGAGAAAAATTTTAATACATCAGGACCATGGTGGAAGAAGAGGTCGTAACAGTCTCTTTTGCACACACAATTCTGGTTTTTCCAGATGTATGGCTATTGCTTCGGCAATGCAGAGAAGATGCAGTCTAATTGTCTTAGGAAGACTTCTACTTACCTTGTTGATGACTTTGAACGCAGTCTGTCTTGATTGAAGGACCTGTGTTCACAAGGTGTTCGATTATAGAAGTTCTTATTGCCTCCTCTTTTTAGCCACGCCGGATAATATTGAATTCTTTTGGGTAAAAAGTACGCTATATTTATTATCTAATTTCTTTATACTTTTTTGTATCTCGATTTGACATGTTCTTCGCGAATTAAATTCTGTTTGACTTTTACAATGATTAATACTACTGTTATTATTTCTGTTTTCTTTTATATGTGTGATGAGTAAGATAAGAAATGTACACACATACGCTTACATAAAAACAGTCAAGGTTAATAAGCGAGTAAGTGACAACATCAAAATATGGCTTGACAAAAATGAGTAATGTAGTCTGTTTAGAAGCTAGAATAACCTATGTGGGCTTGAAATAGTACCAGCTCCTAAACATGTCTTGATTTTACCACCCCTACAAAATCCGGCTAACCAACAAATAGAATGTACAGAATATAAATAACTACCACTTGGTATATAATTTGTATTTCATGTTATAATGAATAAGATTGATAAAGTGTTTATGTACAGAATGGCAGGTTATAACATGAAATATGATTATCAACATATCACAATGTGTTTGATATGTATCCTGATATAGCGACTAAAGGCTTAATCAACTGGAGTGCTAAGGTGCTATGACATCGAATGATTTTTTTTAATCCTGTGACATGTATTCACACCTTAATTGTATAATACTGTAAATCTGTGTTCACATAGTAAGTTATTGAATTATTGAACTCAGTTCAATCTATACAAATTTGGTTGTTAATCTAACTATAAATAAATCCTATAAAACGTGGTGTATTCCTAAATCATTTTAATTTATTTTAAGAGTTAAATACATCTTTGTCACCAGTTTTTACACATTTTCTTTTGTGTTCCAGTTACCGTGTAGATTAGAAATAGCTAAGAAATCGAATAAAGCCTTCATTTTGTAAGACTTATTAAACTCAACGATAGAATTTTATCTGTATTGATTAGTTCTATATTTAATTTATTCACAATCAACATATATGATAGTAATCTAAAACACATAATTGTAAGCTTTAATGAGGTCATTGCATTTTTATTCATTTAATTAATCTATTCATTATGAAACTGGTTATTTTAACTACTATCAGAGTGTTTTTACATAAATAATAATCTTAATAAGCGAGTATTCTATTTTTAAATTTGTTTAAAAATCTCCAAAGAACTCCAAAATAACCTGAAGAAATTATCTGAATGGTCTCAAACCTGGCAGTTACCGATAAATACTTCCAAGTGTGTTGTGATGCATATCGGTCATCAAGGTACAGATAAATACACGATGAATAACACTGAGCTACCTGTCGTCCAGACACATAATGACTTAGGAGTTATCGTTAGCCAAGACTTAAAGACTACTGTGCACTGCCGTGCAATAGCCGCCAAAGGTTTTAGAACCTTATGGTCAATAACGTAGAGCTTTTAGTCATGTCGACGCTAAAACGTTTTTGACTTTCTATACAGTGTTCGTACATCCTAAACTTGAGTTACTTACTTATGCCTGTTACTCCTCGTTGAGGAGCACAGACCGCTCACCAGCATTCTCCATCCAACCCTGTCCCAATCAATCCTTTCCAGCTTCTTCCAGATCCTATTCATCCTTCTCATATCTGCTTCTATTTCCCGACGTAATGTGTTCTTTGGTCTTCCACGTTTCCGCTTCCCTTCAGGATTCCAAGTTAGGACTTGTCTCGTGATGCAGTTTGATGATTTGCGTAATGTATGTCCTATCCATTTCCATCGTCTTTTCCTAATTTCTTCTTCAGCTGGAAGCTGATTTGTTCTCTCCCAGAGAAGGCTGTTGCTGATGATATCCGGCCAATGGATGTTGAGTATCTTGCGAAGACAGCTATTTATAAATACTTCTACCTTCTTGATGTTGATTGTTGTAGTTCTCCAAGTTTCAGCTCCATACAGTAGAACTGCCTTGACGTTGATATTGAAGATTCTCACTTTGATATTGGTTGAAAGTTGTTTTGAGTTCCATATGTTCTTCAATTGTAGGAATGAGACCCTAAACTTCAGTACTACATTCATTCTGAAACTGATTATTTTAACTACTATCAGTTCATTAATAAGAGTGTTTTTACATAAATAATAATCTTAATAAGCAAGTATTCTATTTTTAAATTTGTTTAAAAATCTCCAAACAATAATAAATAAAATTAACGTACATTTTAAAATGAGCTGATAATGATTACAATGATCACAGTTTCCGAATAAGTAAATCATATAAATGCAAATAAACAAATACCATAACCTTATTAAAGCTTGGAATGAGTTGTTTCTAGACAACTATGTAAATCAGAATAATATTGTACATTAAATGAATGCCAATAAGTGAAATATTCAATAGCCTAATAAAGGAAATATTCTTTGTCTTAATTTATTTAATTGTTAAATAAGACATATTGTACTTGTTAAATAAGTTATTGGTAACCAGTATTCAATGGCTTAGTAAATAATGGATTGTTGTTTGAATAGAAAAATGTTTGGTTGAAGTCTTGATGTGAACATTAAAAGTAGGTTACAGGTAAATTCAACTGACGAGTTCAAAATAGAGTGAAAAACACATTTTGTGTTGCGCTATTGGCCATAGTTTTTCTAGTTGAATCAATCTTATGAAAAATTGGATAAGTATAGGTAATCGGCACGCCAACATCATATGCTAGCTAAGACTGATTGAAACTCAAACCTGACTGTGAACAACGGGATAAGTCAATGCCTTAATTAGTGATATAAATGTATGCATGAAAATTTATAACTATATGTGCACGTAAGAAATGATGAGAAACCCGAAGAAGTGTTAAGTTTACAGTGTAAAATTATGACTATGGTCTAAATCAAACGCAGTCTAGGGTCATCATAAACATGAACACTGAATATTTAAAGTCAGTCATTCTTAAAATATGGAGATTAAGGGCAAAGTAAATACAAGAGAGCACTGAAGAACAGTTTAATCTTAGTTCTAGAA